GCACTTTCAAGGTGGAATTTAATACTGATCTTGAACATATACACGCTGAATAATTTATTTACAATTTGGGAGTGGAATGTTATACAGGTATTAAAAGTTCCACATTGGATAATTTTTTCAAACTTTCATCGTGGAGTTTTAGTGATTCGATTCACTTATACATATTGAATATTTTTTTATCATTTTCAATGTGGAGTAAATCTGGTTGTGTATTTAAATATTTTCAATTTAGTTTTGGACAAATACATAACTAATAGTTTATTTACAATTTCGTTTTGAACGTATACACAACTATTACATTATTTGCACTTTCGTTATGGAATAAATCCAATTGTGTATTTAGGTTACTTCAAAACACTATTTTTAATCTGGTTATGTACATACATAACAAATATATTTATTCACTTTAGTTCTGACTCTATTTCTAATCTGGTTATGGATATATATGTAACAAATACATTTTTTTCACTCAGTTATGGAATACAGTTAAATACATATCGAATATTTGTTTTACACTTTGTATGTGTAATGAATCTAGTTGTGTATTTACTAAAACCAAAATCCACTATTTTTAATTTCCTTTTGAAAGGATACATAACGAATATATTTTTTACATTTTCGAGGTGGAAGTTTATAAAGATTTTGAACATATACATATTGAATTTTTTTTTTTAACTTTTGATGAACTTAGCTCATGGTCAAAACTACCAAGTGAAATATTCTGGCAAATCCAGTGAAAAATCTTCACCGAAAATTATGAAATAGAAACTGATATAGTAGAAAATAGACAATTCAGACAGTATTTGTATAACCTAGATCTTAGTAGAAACATTTACGAAGATACTACAACCACGCCGCACTTAGGAGTCCAGAATTTTATCAGATTAAAAGTCTCATAAGTTCAAACCGAGTAAAAAGCCAAAACTAGAAAATTACAACCAATAAATCCAAAATGACCAAATCAAGTAAATCATCTGACCATAAAGTCAGTAAAAGAGAGTCAAAAGGTAAAAAGGATAAATCCAAATCGAAAGATAAGAAAAGCAAAAGTTCAAATAAGGCCAAAGTTTCAGAATTAATGCAATATGCTGAATCATTATCAAAGCCCATCCGGGAAGCTTTCCTGAGCATGAATCACATGAATATCAAAAGTGCAAAAAACGTCTTAATTTGGGAGGATAGATTATTTTCCACCATGGATAAATACCCAAAGCTTTTCAAATTATGGGCAAGCGATGCTTACATTAATGGAGAGAAATACCATTTCGAAAAGGAGAAAAAATGGCATTATAAGTCTCGTAAAGAACAAAAAGTTATTATTGAGGAGATGGAACGTTTAGTGACTGACACGATCTCACAAAAAATTGATCGGAAAGACATCGAAGATGTTACAGTTGGAAAATTAATGAATTTCATTAAGGTTTTTAGAAGTCCCGATTTAGGTTTAGCAATTAGTGAGAGAATGAAATATATTGCAGATTCATATTATGAAAAACCAGAAACACCGGGATCATACGTCAGAAAGGTAATCAACATCAAACATCATTGCAGAAATTCTATCGATCAGTTCATCAACGCATTACCAGATTCAACAGAGCACTGTATAACCATGACTTATGGATATCAAAATGAACGTGATGGATGCGGTAGCATAGCCCAATCTATATATCTCAAGGAGTATCACAGATATAAGAAAGAATTAATGGAACATGGAAAAGTTGGGGAAATTAAGTTACAAAATCTTGAGGAAGTATTTCACGAAATTTTGTCACATCCAGATTATGGAGTAAAAGCAAGCCAACAGAGAAATACAAGGCAGCATGCCATTCCATATGCTAATAGAAATAACGGTCAACAAACCTCGGGATACAAACCAACGCTTCAAATTGCTGGCGGACAAAATAATGGTGGACAATATTATGGTGGACAATATAATGGTGGACAACATAATGGTGGACAATATAATGGTGGACAATATAATAATTCAAATCAAGGAGGATTGAAGACTGCTGGTACAAATAAATAACAACTTGAGGGGGAGTCTATAATTAAGTATAAATCCAATATAATTACGCAAAACTTAAATGACTCTGACCCTCTACCCCATTCAGAAAGAACCATGTTGTGTTATGACAGTGGTAATAGCTTCTCCTTAGTAAATGATTCAGAACTTTTGGAAAACATGTGCCATAAAAGGGAAGCAATAACTATCACCGATAATACAGACATTTTCAGTAAAGGCAGAGGAAAGCTAACAATAAACGTCAATAACATAAATTTGAAATTAGATGCCATGTATGTACCATCTGCCAATCTTAATCTAATATCAATATCACAACTCAATAGTCTAAAAGTGACTACCATTATGCGGGAATCAATATGGCTAATTTATGATGGTAAAATAACAGAAGTTGCGGCAATTGATCCAAGTATCAAATTATATATGGGACCAATTTCAGGAAGTTTTAAAAATCAAAGTCAAATACAAAATGAAACAACAGAAGATAATGAAACATCATCAATAATAAAATATTTTTCAGGAAATGTTTTTGAATCAACAACAAACTTAGATCAGGAAGATACTCCAAAAGAACATCCATTCTTTACAGATCATATTATGATGGGACATATGCCTATATATGCGATGACTCAACATTATAAGAGGATGGGTATAAAGACAAAACCAACGAAACAAGAAGAACAACTTGTTAAAGAATGTCAAATCTGTATCAAAGCAAATATGAAGAGAGTACCACATACTTCAGGACCCCAAAGAGATAAGAGTAAGATACGAAGATTATTCCGACTTCATAGTGACACACTTGGTCCATTCAATTTATTCTTGGAGAAGAAAATAACTAAGAAATACATCACCACGGTTATTGATGAAGCAACTGGTTTTACAGAAATAATTGTAAGTGACTCGAAAGGGGTTAAAAGTTCAATAATTAAAATCATTAAAAAATTCAATCAAAAATTTAATGAGAGAGTTGCTTTCTTTAGAAGTGATAATGCACCAGAGATGCCATCAATAGAGGACCTACAAAACATCGGGGTGGATTGCAATCAAATACCAACATATAGCCCAAGCTTAAACGGTTTAGCCGAAGGATATAATAGGAAAATACTCATAAATATTTACAAAATTGTTTCACTGTTAAATGCTGATAATAACATAATGAACCTATTCAAATATATGGCGGAATATCTGGTCCACAAACTAAACAACACCCCAAGAAGATTACTTCATGGAAAAACACCATTTGAAAAATTTTACAAATGCCAACAATACAACATAAAACATTTGCAATTTGGAATTGACTGCATAGTCAAAATACATACAAAAATTCAAGCAAAACAATTTGGAATAATACCGGAAAAATTTATACCTTTCTGCATTGATGCTTTCTTTGTTGGATATGGTTCGGACAGTTGCACCTTCATCGTCATAACAATGGATAATAAATACTCAGAATTACGAACTTGTGATGTTGTTTTCATCAACAGTTTCAACAACATCAAGAAATATAAACCAGTATTACCAATTGAAATTCAACAAACTAATCAAGATATCACAAGATCTAAATACATTTACACTATAAAAAAATTTCGTTTTTACCATACAAAATTCCCATACTAAAT